AGCTCGAGGAGAAAGAAACGGACCGATGGTTTGGGGCAGAAGCAGGCAAGGCAAGAGAGTGGTGAGCAAACAACCTGTAGACAAGGGAACAACTAGAGAATTAAAAGCAACAACAAGGAGGACGTAGAGATGTTGGGTGTGTTGGAGCAACAGCCACCTAACTGAGAGGTGTTCCCAAGAGGCGGAAGTAGGGTGAGTGTGAGGGTCGGGAAGGAGGAAGCTACAAGGAAACAGAGAAACAATCTAGGAAGCAAAGCTATGGAGAGAGGTAAAAGCATAGGAGTGTACATTAATTCATTAAAATAGAGGTATTGGCCTATGTACATATTTGGCAATACACTGAGGTAATGGATGGACTTTTGGCCTCTGCTCTGCTCATACCCTCCTACAGTGCAAGAACACTGTTCTACAAAAAACAAGTGCTTTATTCTAACAAAGCATTCTGTGATGCTCACCTCCCTGGCACAATTGCTGAAGCCAAAATGACCGCATAATCAAATGAGTTGAAGAGAGCTGATGGTACCATCTGCGGTTCTAAAGGCTTGACGTTAAACAAGCAGCCATCTAGCAGAGAAGCAACAAGCCCACATGGAGAAAATACACCAGACTGTGTGATCACGAGGTGTCATCAGGATCAGGTAACAGATATCAGAAGAAAAAACAACAAAAACATTGTTGAGAACGAGGAGTCAGAGCAGAGACCCACAGCCCATCTATACACAATGGGACATCCTCTCGCAGAGGGGTCACGGGGAAGGGATGAGTCAATCATGGTGCAGTAAGGCACTGATGAAACACACAAGTTTCCTTTGGTTCCTTGAGACTTCCTCAACCCCCACTATCATGACCCCTGTGCTGCCTTTCTCTGTGGGCTAGTCTGGAGCACATGCACAGGTACAGATAAGAGATAAGAGCTCAGGATACAAGGAATAAAGAACAAGTGGGACTGGGGGAGGGGGAGGTAGGTGGAACAGACTGCAATGATCAACATTTAACGCCTCCCACCCCCCACC